TGTTGATCAAACATACCTGCGAATGAAGTGAAAAAGTTAAGGAGAGAGAAAGTTGTGTTGAGTTGTTGTAAAGGGCGAGTCCACCTTAAATTTCCGCCTAACCTTAGTTGTTGTTGCAAATATTTCCTACTTCTTTCCTTCATTTTGTTGCTATTCTTTCACGCGCTTAGTGCAATTGTGAGATTCTCACTCTCTCTCTCTTGTTATAGTTTTGGGCTAAGTTAAGCCATTACATTACCATAAGTCCATAAGGATGTAACCTCAAATCTTAAAATTATGGTCACTCATAGCCTATCTAGAGAGGGTCATAGTCTATCTAGAGGTGTTAATTCAGATATTCAAATTGAGTTCAGTGAGGTCGGATCGGGTCTAATGTTAAGCTTGAGTTATGTTAAATTAACATGTCCATGCGAGGCGAAATCTAGATCGAATATTTTTCAAGTCGGGTCAGGTTTTGACACCTCTAACCTATCTTTATTAATCTTAATAATGCAAATCTTTTGAGTGTCTTATATTAAAGACTATTTTATTTAAAAAATTTGCTAATTTAGAAAATTTCAATTAAGCAACTAAATATTGTGGAAATCACATGTACATGATATACCTGGATGTAAAATAAACAGTTTACAGGCATCGCCAAGTTGCATTAAATCTTCCTTGATATTATTCCTCTTGGCTTGAAATATTAATCATTTACTATACGGAATTTTTTACATGTTAACCTTTGGTTAATTCACATTGAGGTTTTTTTTTTTTTTCTCTATAGGTATGTGTACATTCACCCCTACATAACTCAACATTATGTTAAATTCAATTGCTATACTTTTATTAGGGAAATGAGAATTACTGTAACATCCTAGAAATTCCTTTTCGTTAAAATACCTATTTTGCCCTTTTAAAATACGAAATAGGAAAATCTAAGACATTACCGCCACCGTGAAAACGGCTAAGGCAAATATCAAAGACACACACGGCGGAAGACTATTTTTAAAATCATTTTAAAACAAGTCAACATAAAAAGTCAAACCAAACGAAAGTAAAAGTCATACTAAGTCAAACAAAGTCAACCTACAACTTGGAACCATTGTAGGCCCTTAAAAACCAAACAATATTTAAACCTTTTTGTTAGTCTCAGGAGCATAATAATATAATTAATATCCAAAGCAAATAAAACACATTATATACCTATGAGAACTAAGCACGATTCGCTCTTCACTCATGCCCTTCATGAAAATACTTCATCACCTGAAAAGCTTCTCTCTACTTGTCCCCACTACTCGCCATTAGAAATGGGTCGTTGTAGGGCCAAAGTAAAGACAAGGCCAAACAACCATACAAACACACAATCAGCAATGCTGAGTACATAAGCGTAATAAAACACACTAATATGTTTTCATCCTATCAACACACAACTTACCGAGTTGCACCTGTAAACAAGCATACAGGACATTCAACACTTAACCAGACCAATACCAATGTTCATTTAATTTTGATTACACATCGAACAGGTTTCCAACCAAAACCCTGCCTCAAATAAATTGAGGTAAACTACACCGGGAGCTAATCGGGTAGGCAAATGTCATATAAAGTGACTAGACGTCCTGCGCATAATAATAATAAAAAGGAAAATATAGCGTCCTGTACTCCCAGTAGAAGTTATGGTTAAATATATAGTCGCATAACTCCCCCCATATGTTCATACTCAAGGTATATACGTTATAAGAGTTTTGGTGTGTAATCTCTTTCACTTTACATTATTTTACATATTATTATACTTGGTGATGACTCTCAAACCATTACACAATCAAACATTACACTTCATTCAAGCAATCAAATATACCAATTTAATTCTTGAATAATTAGTGACTATATAAATTTAATAGTTGAACCCTTTTTTAATCTACCTCAGTGTCAAAGACACCTTAAACGCATAATATCGCCACAAATCCTATCCCTCGATGTTTAAAACACCTTAAGTGCATATAAGCACCGCAATAAAATTCATTCATGTGTACTAAGACACTTGATAGCTCAATTCCCATGCTTACAACATCAATAAAAATTATATGAACCATAATAAAATTCCTTTTTAATATTCCAAACCAAATTAAACACTTAGTTTAATTAATAAAAGTGTGGTTCATATCCAACATGCCAACATAATTAATTCCAATCACCAATTCACCACAAATAATTCATACATCACAAATCATTCACCAACACCAATCCAATCAACAAATTCCAACCATCACCTATCATGATACTATTTGGAATTAATTAAACAAAGGCTAGCATGCTTCTACATATTCAAATAATTACTAAGTACACGAACGTACCTTGAATATGATCTCAAAATCGTCACGACTAAATAAAATCACTGACTTGAAAGTCTCCTACAAACCAAAATTACAAAGAAGTATTAATACCTCTTCCACACAAATTTCCAGCAATATATACTCTCTTTAAATCACTCATAAACCCTCTAAAATAAGATGAAATTTTATTTAAAACCCTTACTTTTATTCCCAATTAATGGGTTATTAAAAATCCTTTCAAGAAACATAATTATAGCTTATATATAAAAATTCCAGTATTATTTAAAACTTATAAAATTGTTGTAGTTATGTTTTAAAACACCGATTTTAATAATTTAAATCACCCACACTCAAATTCCATCAATAAACATTAATTTAGAAACCTAGGGTTTTCAATTTGGGGCTTTTTAATTCAAAACCAAAATCTGAAAATTAATATACAAAATACTTATTATTAAACATCCTAATATCATCACAAAACCCAAAAAAATAATTAAATTAAGGTGGATTTAAATTAAAAATCAAAAAGAAAGTTGTTTTTTTTTATAACACACACGCACAAGGGGAGAAAAGGGGGTAGCTGGCGCCACCACCCACGGCTGCTGCTACTGCCGGCTGTGGTGGTGGCGGCAGCCAGCCACCGTGCGGTGGTGTGTGGTGGTGGTGATTAACATAAAATAAAATAAATAAAGGGGAAGGGGAAAAATTAAGAGGAAAAGAAAATAAGAGGAGAGAGAGAGTTACCTTTGGGTGCACTCCACCTTAGGCATATGATGGGTATTTATACTCCCTCTCAATATCTCTCTTACTTAAAATTCCTTTACTACTTTTAATGATCATTTTCCTAGTCAAACTAGTATTTTGACTTTCCTTAAATACCATTGCCTTTAAAAATTATCTTTTTATAAAATAATATGCCCCAATATTTTTAAATCATAAAATAAAATATTTTTAAGATTATTAAATAATTAAAAATATACTTTTAATTAAAATAATTCTTTTTAAATTAATAAAAATCATAAATTATTCATTTCGAATTATTTAAATACTTTAAGAAATACTTATTTAAATTAAAATACGTATAAAAATATGGGGTATTACAATTACAACCCTCGACATTTTTGCATTACACTACATAAATGAAAAGGGTGTAGTGAGAGTTAACTATAAATTAATTAATCTCACAAAACTTGCTAATTACAATTTTTGCATCTCCTTAAATGACTCATCATTCTTGGGTTACAATTGACAACACTAATGTATATGTTCAAATCACACAAATTAAACATTCGTATTGGATCTTTTCTAGTACTTAGCTCATCTCATCGTTGCTTCTCTAGTAATTAACATAAACAAGTGGATTCGAAAGTTTGGGTTGAGGATCGAAATCAAGCTCTTTTGTGATAAGAGTTGGAGACCTTTGTAAATAATATTAAGATTTTATCAAAAGTATTATAAAGGGAAGTCAAAACTTAATTACAAGCTGTTTTGGGTAAAAATACCCAGGATACGTGGTCCAATCAAAGAGTGACACGTGTCACCTTAGGAGAGGTTCAAAATGAACCAATCCTTAGCTAACATGTGGCACTCCCAATTAGTGGAGAAAAAGACGGCCTTCAGAGCCCAATTCCCGAGAAAAACACGCAAAACGCATAGCCCCCAAATCTAGGTCAGAATGACCTAGATAGGGGCACACTTACCAATGACCCTATAAATAGGGATATTCACCCCACTTTGGGGAGAGATACATTCATTAATTAGCAATTCTCTCACATCAGAGAAATCCCCTGACCTCGGAATCCGAGAAGATCTCACTTTAGTTTTCGCACCTTTTCACTTTCTTCGTACACGTTCTAACTTGATCGTCGGAGGCGAACTCCACCCAACCGGAGTCTCCGCTGTTTTGCAGGTATAGGCGCCCGGAATCCAGTCTTGGTGACGTAACTCTCCCAAGGGACAAAAACCCCGAAATACAAGCTATGTCATAACAAATGCAAGAAAGATTATAGAAACTAACAAACAAAAATACATATAATAAGTGATTCACTAACGATTAACTAGTTATGTTCAAGGAAAGTCAAAAACAAAATTATTGATCTCGATGAAAGTACAGATTACAGAATATTAGCTAAGTTGTAAACAATACAAAATGGCGGTTAGGTTAAATCCTGAAGGAGTTTATATAGTACTTCCAAAACATAAAACAGTATAGACACAATAATAGAAAGTTGTAGTTCACAAAACATATCATTCGTAATAGATGTTTAAAGGGGATAACCGATTCAAGACATATCCTAGCAAGTTACTTCAAATGTGTTAAATGAGGGCAAGAGATGAATAATTTGGGTTACTAAGGGAGACATGGGAAGGGACAAGGGAGGGGTAAGAGGAGAGGTAAATTGTGTAGCAAAAATGTTATCATTGAGTGCACCAAAACTTAAATAAACATGGATATTCAATGATATTTTAGTTGTTTTTATAAATGAAGAGCGCTGCATAAACCTATTATATTTTAAAAATATTATTTTAAATTAAATATGGATAGAATTTTAGATAAATCAGGAATTAGGATAGATTTTTATCATTTTAGGATAAGAAAATATAGCTTTTGATACACAAAGTGAAATTTATTAAATCCTTATACCTAATATGAATACAAGATAAGTATGAGTTACATAACAAAAACGGAGTACAATTTACAACAAAATTACAATTATCAAGATTTCTTTACTATATCAACTACCATATTGGAAGTCTAAATCACATGTTCGTACTACTCATTGCGAACTCCAATTTTTTTTATTTTTATTCTTTTTCCTCACATGTTCTTACTACTCATTGCGAACTACAATTTTTTTATTTTTATTTTTATTTTTTTCCCTTAATCTCATACCCGGATAGTTTTTAGTAACAATAATTACCCAACCGCGGTAGCCTCATCGCGAACTACATTTCTGTGTATTCTATCCGACGCACAGGCTTAACAACCGGTAACCAAAAAAGGTCACACTTTCACCCCATGTCCTCCCTCACCCCCAAACCCCTCAAAAAAAAAACCTAAGCCTCTAATAAACTCTCCCTTCTCACGCAAACACATCGACATTGGCTCCTCATTTTTCCAGCCTTCTTCAACCTTTACACTTCGATCTTTCACCTCTTTCTCTCACTCTCTCTCCTCCCCACTTTCCCTCTCCTCCTTCCGCCGTCGCCGCCGCAGTCGAACTGCGGCTGAGCCGTCGCAAATACCGGAACTTTGGTAAGCTTTATCATCCTTCACTAAACAATACCCTTGAATTTGAGTTCGAAATTTTGCATTTTTTTCTGGGTTTTGTTCAAAATTTCTGATTTGTTGATTTTACCCGTCAAATTTTAATTGCAGTCGATGATCAACGTATACTTTTTGGAAGATCAGTTGAATCCGAGTTGCCAATTTCTGCCATTAAAAGCCCTTTTCTTTGCTCTCTCTTAAATTCCCTGCTTTTTTTCATGTCTTCTTTTATAACCCTTTATTATAGTATTCTAATTACCCATTCTCTTACTCATAGTACATTCAGTCCAGTTTTTTCTGTGCATCATGAACAATTCTGAGGTATTTCTATTTTATGCCTTTTTTTTATTGTCACTTTTTATTATAATTTTATTGTTTATTGCTATTTGATTTAGTATTAGTGAAATTCACCACTCATTGCTTTATTAACTCAAATGAAGTTGAAAGGTTTTTGTTTTTTTAATTTGTGAATCGGAATTGGGTGACAATTGTGATACTCAAGGTGGGATTGTAAATGAACTTGTTAGGGTTTTGTTTGTTTAATTTGGTATATATGCTAGAATGATGTTTGATCGATATCTTGAGTCGGTTAGTCATCTGTAGTCCTTTTCGGTTGGCACTTATTGTTAGGTGTGTTTGGAATGATGTGGGTTTAGCCTTGTATAGTGAAAGTCTGAAAGGTGTTCTTCAAGCTTTGAAAAGGATAATGTAGAAAGGTAGGATTTCAACCAAAAAAAAAAAAAGAAAGGTAGGGTTGCTGAGTGTGGAAGATGGTTTCGTGGGCGAATGTGGTGGGAAAAAAACCTTGAGGGTATAGCTTCTGGTCACATGTGAGTGATACTTGTCATTTTATTTTTTCATACAGTTTATGGGCTTGAGCTTTGTTTTATCCTCAACTCCCCTTTGGTGATACATGCGTATGACTGATACCCCCCATTGGTACCTTCTTTACCTATTCCCTCCGACCCAAAATGGTGCTCCTGTTTTGACTTTTCATGATCAAACTTTAAAAACTTTGACAAACTTCTCATTAATATTTATAAAAAATAAAAAATATAGTCATATGAGATATTGTTAGATTCGAGTTAATGTGTAGTTTTATAACTCCAAATTTAAATCATTTTTTAATAAATAAATTTAAGATATTAATGTCAAAGGCACTTCTTGAAATCGTGCAAAATAAAAATGAGAACATCATATTGGGATGGAAGGAGTATTTATGCATTACTTACTCTCTTCAATTGAGGGAGCAATGGTGTATAGTGTTTTCGGTATCTTAAGTAAAAATAATATATGCTTATTTGGCTATAAATGTTGCCTTTCTCTCTTGTTACGTTTTTAATTTCATAAGAATAGCGATATTCCCTTTTGAGTACACATTTTGCTCTGGGCTAGCAGAGTTGGGTTATATTTTTAAACATTCTGCTTATATGGTTATTATTTGCTCTGCAGATGATTTTGTTTGGATCTTTTACTGAAGAAGAGTTAAGGTCGATAAACAATAAACCATCTGAGAATTCTAAAATACCTCCACGCAAAGAAGAACTCCAGTTTGGTTCATTGTCTTTGGTGACAGGAGCATTCTTGAGCAGTGAAAATGGTGAAACTGGAACTAAGCTACCTTCTTCTGTGAAATCATCTGATTCTGTCAAGAAAGTTGATGGTCCCGTGCATTTAAATGACGTTGTTCCAGTATCTAGAGCCGTCTTAAAAGAAAATGGAAGCATCCATAGTTCTGAACATTCTCACCCACTGGCTAATGGCCTAAAACAAATCAAAGGTGGAAGTCATGATCTAGCTTCTGCATGCCTCACAAATAATGATGCAACTGTTTCTTCACAACAATTCTTAAGTTCATCTCAAGGTTGTCAGGATATTAGGTTGAAGGAGAGATATTCTAATGGTGTTCATGATGCATCACTAAAGTCTGTCCCTTTGAAAGATGACCTGAAAAAAGCTGCTAATGGTAGCATAGCTACCACTTGTGACTTGCTTCCCAGGGGCTTGATCAATGCTGGGAATTTATGTTTCCTTAATGCGACTTTGCAAGCACTTTTATCCTGCTCCCCTTTTCTGAAGCTTTTGCAGGAACTTCGAACTCGTGATATCCCGAAGGTATTATTTTAACTGCTTGTATGTAAACTGTAAAGTTAGATATTATTTTGAAAAGTTTACATTGTGTGTGTTATTTTAGGTTGATTATCCAACATTGATCGCATTCGTGGATTTTGTATCGGAGTTTGACATACCTCATGGCTCAAGTTCAAAGACAAGAGATCCAAATATTGTTGATACTGGCAGGCCTTTTAGCCCTGCGATGTTTGAAGATGTGGTGAAAAATTTTACTCCAGACGTGCCAAGTGGTTTCTCTGGCAGGACAAGGTGTGTTTTCTTCTTTTTCAACCTCTCTTGAATACTTTATGTTTTGCTTCAAAATTGATAACTCGGATATATATGAAGTCATGGACATAATTTTGGTTGTCCAGATTATGATATCGATGCAGTATACTTTCCTGTTTCCCCTGTGCTATTTTGCCACATTCTTAATTTACCTTCCATTTATTTATGATAAGTAAACATGGCTGCACCCCTTGCATCTGAAGTGTATCTAACTTTTTGTGACTACCTTTTCTCAATCCATCTCATTAATCATTATTGTCTCAAAATTCCTAAACGGAATATTATTACCCTTTCACTCTCTGCTTTCAATTTGTTTACTCATATTTAACCACCCTTTGGCCCATCCTCTACTAGCTTTCTTAATGTGCATGCGTGTGGCTCAAAACTAGTTTTTTTTTTTTTTCTTGCTTATGCCTCTATTTATCAATCAATCAATCAATTAACGCCTTAATCCCATAAGTGAGGTCGGCTACATAAATCAAAAGTGCTTATGCCTCAAGGAAATTTAAATTCATTCTTTCTTTAATTTTATTATTGCTAATTGCTATAGCTGCATGTTGCTTTTCTTTTGTCTAGAAGGCAACTTCTGTGTTGAAAAAAGAGATACAATAGAAATAGGTTTTATCTACTTCATCTGTTTTTTAAAATATTGCACCACTTGCCTTTTACGGAAGTTTCACAAATATTGCACCATATCCATTTTAGGGGAAAAAAAAAAATTTGTGTTCAGATGGACAAATTTGTATTTTTACCCTATATACCCTTACCTTTAAACCCTTGATTATTTAGTTTATGTTTCAATCACATGGACAATTTTGTATTTTTACCTCTCTCTCTCTTTCTTTTTCCCACTACCAAAAAATTTGTGTCCAACTCTTATGGTGCAATATTAAAAATATGGAGGAAGTATTTGGTTTTCCTGTTTTCTTGTTGATTAGATTCAAGGATTGTAGGCTCTGATAGTGAAGCTATTAGAGATCATTTTTCCTCCTTTTGGGCTTGGCAATGAGTCTTTGTTTACCTTTTGTTTCTTGTTGAGAATAGTTTGTAGCCATGATTGTGATTTCAATTAGTTGGAAGCACCGTATTAATGAGCTCTTTTCATACAGGCAAGAAGATGCTCAAGAGTTTTTGAGCTTTGTCATGGACCAAATGCATGATGAACTACTTAAGCTTGGTGGGCAAAATTCTGGCATGGCTGCACGGAAGTCTTTACTGGTATCATCATCAGAAGATGATGAATGGGAAACTGTTGGTCCTAAAAATAAGTCTGCAGTGACAAGAACTCAAAGCTTTGTTCCATCAGAACTAAGTGCAATTTTTGGCGGACAATTGAAGAGTGTTGTGAAGGCAAAGGGTATGATATGACTTGGTCACATTCATGCATTAAGATCTTAGCTTTTCTTCTTTAGTGTTTTGCATGGGGTCGTTGGCGTATATATTTAATTATTTTTTGTTGCTCCCCCCTATTTATTTATGTGTCTTTTTTTTTTTAATACCCAAATATATTTGCTTTCTGCAAAGAGCATGGATAGACATAGATGTCTTTGCTTATAGATCATTCAAGGAGAGGGTAGCTGCCATTATAGGCTCCTATTTTATATGTTCATTTGAAAGCAAGTTTAAAAAGAACGAGAAGTCAAGGGAAGGCAAGAATAAGATGTTGGAGTGTAAAAGAAGGTATGCCAATGTTTTCATTGTAGTAGCAAATTAGGTTTCGGGAGAGTCAATTGGGAAAGCGTTAGCGGAGTGAGGATCTAAATCTAGTAATTAAGAAGAAATTGAAATCCTATATGGGGTTAGGATATTGTAGAAATGATGAGAACCTTGTCAATTATAAAGAAAGTAATGTTAAGGCAAATAAGTTGTTTGAGAGACAAAGACAAGGGTCTACATCAAGAGGTTTATAATAAAATGGGCTAAAGGGAAGGAGAAAACATATCTATACGATATCTTTGAAAAGACAAATGTTTAATAAAGGATCTTCATCTGGTAAAGTTTATGATGGGTATAAATCTTAGGATTCTAATCCAAAGGAGATCAATTATAGATGACAATCTGTTTAAAGGAAGTCAAGTGATGTTAAACATCTGTATTGTGGATCATGAAATTAGTCGATTGGGTTGATGTGTGGAGAATACAGAATTTGAGGTAGAGAAGGCTTCGAATAGAACGAATTTATAGAAAGTATGTGGCCAAATGTTGAGAGAGACTGAAAGAGCACCTTGATCCCAATTTACAAGAAGAACAAAGATGCGTTGCTCAGCTAATGATGCAATATTATAGGGCGTGGAGTCAAGGATAAAGGATTTGAACATGAATTTCATTGATCTATAGAACACTTATGGCTAGGTGGACAAGGTGTTGTGCATGATTTTATTTCTTGCTAGTGATCACGATGTGGAATCACTTTCTTGGGAAATGCAGATTGTTTTTTGTTGCTCTTAAAACAGTTATGGTTTTACAATGCGGTCACGATGCGTTGTTGAGATTTAATATCATCGTGTCAAGAGATGTGCTTTGATGGCAATGACAAAAATGGTATCCTATTTAATATTGGCTTAATTGGGTATATTTATGAAGATGTGAGTACTTGTGAGTATCAAATGATTTTTCTGTCACAATTGGACTACATCACTTTGACCTTTTATATTCACAATCAATGTATAAAAAGGTGCGCCTAAGGCGCTAGGCAATTAGGTTCTTGTTCTGTATAGACTATGTTAATTCATCTAGCATTCAAAGAGGCGAACCTGAGGTGCATTAGGCACATGTAAGCAAATTTCTCTAGCTGTCTTATTTTGTGTGCCTGCTCCTTGAGCCATTTTCATACATTGTTCACAATGATGTTAGATGAACTAACATAGTCTATATAGGACAAGACACCATGTTTGCGATGATATTGGAGTGGTGGACAAGACATGAGCTGAGGTTATGCTAGATTAGTGTGATGGAGATAGAAGCTAATATCTCGAGGGTTTAGACTAACTAGGAGCCAAGCCTATTACATGAAGTGTTGATTGTAGTACTAGGGAGTCCAATGAGGATGTAATTACGTTAGATGGTAATGAGCTGTCAAGAGTAAAAGTATCTTGGGTCAATCAATCTTTAAAAGGAGTGGAGATGTTGGAGATGTGGCTAACGGAATTAAGTCCGAGTGGCTTAAATGGAGAGCATGTGTATTGCGTAAAGTTAAAGGGTAAACTCCGCAAGACAGATTAGCACTGATGTATATGTCAAATTGCTGGACATTTAGGAAGAATTATATTTTGAAGCTGTATGTACAGAGATGTGTTTGTGGGGACACCTTAAAGAATAGAATTAGTGATGAATATATTTGAAATAAATTTGGAATCGCAGATGTTAGTTGGAACTTGGGGAAAAAAAAGGAAAAAAAAGTCACTTCGAACTTAATTAGAACTTAAGGATTGGAAATTTGGAATTTTATGTCTGATACCTATTCTTGGAAAGTCAAAGTGGTCTTCTACTTGGAAGTATTTGTTTTTCATGATTCTGGGGTTGGACAATTGTGGAGTTTTTTCCTCTGTGTTGATTGCTTAAAGGAGTAGAAGGTTGAGCCTTAATGGAGTGGGTTATTTGGTTAAGCAGTTACTTCAAAGATTGTTTGAAGATGAATTTTAGTAGCCATCTTTTTTTTTGCTCCGTAATTTTTTTTATACTTTGGGTCCTTCATTAGTTCCTTGTGTTTGGGGTCTGCTGGGTTAATCTGAAATTAGGTTATTTGGAGAAGTAAAACGAACAAAGACTAGATTACCACTGATTACCATTTTGTAGTTGCTAGATCCCTTTGCAATTTTTAGTGCATGGGAATTTCCTCACCTTGACACTGATTTGATTTTTCCTTGTCCATACAAATTTGGCCACCAGTGCTCTTTTGATGGAATAGTTTTCTTTTTAATTGTGTTTTTTAACAGTTTTTGTATGCTGTAGCCAATTGATTGAGTGTGCTGCAATTGCTGCTGTAAAGATTTTGTAGCTTTATAATTTATGTAGACCCTGCATCTGCAAAGGTTTCTCTTGCAATTGTTTATGTTAAGGTTCTGAATATTGTATCTTGTCTTTGCATTGATGGATCAACTCTGAGATGCATGGAAGAGTTTAGCAGGCTAAGTCGTGAAAAAAAAAATGACTATGGATTTCTATGTTTCTGCTAAGCAGGAAACAAAGCCTCTGCTACAATTCAGCCATATCTCTTGCTTCATCTTGATATTTTTCCTGAGGCTGTCCACACGATAGAGGATGCACTTCGCCAGTTTTGTGCACAAGAAGCACTCGAAGGTTACCGAGCTTCAAACACTGGGAAGGTACATAAACTGTCTTCTTATACCAAGTTAATGATCTTAATTTGGGTTGTCCAGATGATGTTTTCGATGCTCATTCTGTTCTGTTGATTTTTGTATGGATCTTTATCCCTTGTGTTTTCATTTTACTGAAATGTGGTATTCTGTTTCTCTCTTATATCCTAACATATTTGAAGGCCATTGATGCAATGCCACTCTAATCAAATATCTTGACAATTAGTGCAATTCACATGCTATAGCCTATAAGCCACCCTCCAGTGTTTTAGTAATGATAATTCTATTATTAATGATGTCTGATTTTCTGTATCTTTAGCAAGTCTTGCATAAAGAAGTACAGAGTGCGATTGACCATATTGTAGGAACTTTTTTACTTAGCTCGCTTTTATTATAATAAATGATTATAGTTCATACAATATGCCAAATCCAATTTCATGTCTGCAGAAAATTCTTATTATTGCCAGTCAAGGGGAGATTTGGGCAAATTTTGCAATTTAATATTGGAATTCGCATGCCCTCAAATTGTTTGTAGATGTATGACTACCATCATAATTCCCTAGGGGCCTAGGAGACTCTTGTAGATCAAAGATTTTGTTTTGTTGTGGAATTGGGAATGATCATATCTTTTCCCTTACATCTTCACCTTGCTTTTTCAATCAATTTTTTGCTCTGTTATTCCTCTATAAAATATTGAGCGCCTCTAATAAATTTTCCTGTGCCATCAAATGTGTCTGGATGAGTTTTGACTTTGAGTGACAATAGTGTAAAGGTGTGATAGCTATATCCCTCTGATGCTCTGTATTGACACAACCTAATGGACCTGGCAATATGAAAATGGACATGACAGTTTCTGGCAAGTCTAGCATGAACCTTATAAGCTTCATGGAGTAAACCGTAGACTTGAAATTCAAAGATGTAATTCACTGAAATAAGATCTAAAACTTTGAGGCTTTCATTATTCATGTCAGGATGAAGCAGCAGGTGCTTTATTTTGAGCACTAGTAGCTCCAGTGAACTTTTCTCTGTGCAGCCCTTTATTTTATTTATGACGAGTTACTGATACTAATTCCCTGATTATACTGAGCTTGAGCATGCTGTTTGCAAAGATTTGGCTTGTTGAGGAATTTAACTTTGGTAGAAATATGATTGCATGTTTAAGATTGTTTTTGTAATTTCATCTATATTGCAAAATACTGGTTAAATGCTTACATGTACAATGTAATGTTTAGGCTGGATTGGTGACAGCTAGCAAATCTGTCAAAATACAAACCCTGTCTAAGATTATGATATTGCACCTGATGCGCTTCAGCTATGGGAGTCAAGGGAGTACGAAATTGCACAAGCCTGTTCATTTTCCCCTTGAGTTGGTTTTAAGCTCACAACTCCTTGTGTCACCTACAACTGAGGTAAGCTCAATTTATCCTTTAATTTGAATTCCCTAATCCACTCACCTATCTAGCCTACATGATCCCCTCCCCTATTTACTCCTAATGTGGCTGAAAAATGATCACCTTTGGTGAGATCTACCATTCTGAACACTAACTAACACGTAGTTTTGAATTTTCAATGGTTAATAGCCTAAACACTTGATTGATTGTAACAATGTTATCAGTACTTGGACTTAATTACCACTATATTGTTGGCTTGTTGCCAGTAGTTTATAATGAAGCTCTATAGTTCTTACCCCTTGACTAAACTGACATTAGACTGATTCATAAACGTTGACTGTATATACAAGGGTTGCCGGCACAGTTTTGAATTCAATATTTAACCTACAATTCAAGTTCCAATAAGTAGATTTTATGAGGTTTCCATTGTTAAACATCCTTTTTTTAATTAGTACTGGATGAAAGCATGCAGTTTTTGTTGAATGTCTACAAGTATATACATCATATACTTATAGATATCCAACTATATATGTATTCCTATAAGTCGATAGAATTTTAGAAATGCTAAGATTTCCTCGTTTTAAAATAATGCTATTCGTGGAATTCAAATTCTCCTTGTGTATCTTTTCCCTCGAGATTTTAGAGCTTGCAGAAAAATAATCCGCGTTCGTTCTCTAGTTAGCACACTTTCTTATCTCTTCAAAATGGAGTTTGTGAATCATTATTTTGGTGATAATGAATTATCATTATTTGATAATTCATCATATACTTATAGATATCCAACAATATATGTATTCCTATAAGTCGATAGAATTATAGAAATGCTAAGATTTCCTCGTGTTAAAATAATGCTATTTGTGGAATTCAAATTTTCCTTGTGTATCTTTTCCCTCGAGATTTTAGAGCTTGCAGAAAAATAATCCGCGTTCTTTCTCTAGTTAGCACACTTTCTTATCTCTTCAAAATGGAGTTTGTGAATCATTATTTTGGTGATAATGAATTATCATTATTTGAGTAAGCCAGCTTGAATCTGAATTTATTTTTGTGGCATTTCATTGTACAGGGTAGGAAATATAAACTTGTGGCTACAATTACTCATCATGGGAGGGACCCTTCGAAGGGGCATTATACAGCTGATGCTTGTTATCCTGATGGGCAATGGATACGATTTGACGATGCATCTGTCACTCCAGTACCAACTAGCAAGGTTTTACATGACCAGGCCTACGTACTTTTCTACAAGCAAGTATAGATCACAAGTTCATAGAAATTCATCCTTGGTGAAGTCTGAGATTACTTGATCTCGGCCTGGACCATCTTGTGTGAAATGTGAAGCTGTTTTGCCTACGCTGTTGAGGTTAGGTTAGTTACTTTCTTCCGTGCATCTGTTTTGTCCTCACCTCCATGCAACACAGAGGGGGTACTAATTACATGAAATAATTTTTTATCTCAATATTGATAGTGATAGCTTTGTCAGAAAAGTGGGTGATGACGAAATTAAGAGAGAGAGAGAGAGAGAGAGAGAGAGGGGGGGGGGGGGGAGCGGGGAAGGGGATGGTTGGTTTGCAACAATTGATGCTAATAGAGTAATAGGGTTTCGTATTTCTGTATCTTGTGAAGAATGTTACTTGTAAGTTCTCTGGTAATTTATGATGAGAAGTTCTGAAAGGCTAAAAGATTCTTTATAGAGTCCTTGACTCCTTGTCACTCTTTGATTTTTCTGTGAAAAAAAAAGAGCTTGAAATAGGTTTGCTTCTTTTCTTTTTTTTATTTTTTTATTTTTTTGGGAAAAAGAATTTTTATTTTTGCAAGGATTTGTCAGCTTTAGGCCTTAATACTGTTCTTCAATTAAAATAGTTTTTGTTAGCCAAAATTCTAGTAGTCTGTGAAAATCGGTATTTTGCCTGTGAGAATAGCAGGATAACACCAGTATTAACAAAATTCAATTTTAGATAGTAAAAAAAAATTAAGTAAATAATAAAAATTGTATACTTGTATTTATATTATATGTCGAGTTAGTATAATCCATTCTGACACAAATTAGTATTGGCCGATTACTTTGAGCTATTATTTTTATTGGTTCGAATAAGCCACAAGAACATTGCTCTCTACAAATGGTCAGGGATAGTATGTAGTCGCTCAGTGTTTGCAATTAGGCTAATACCTTAATTGTTATAGTTTTATGTTGAACTGTTATCTCTGTAATCCCTAACAACAATAAACATTCGTATGAGAAATTAGTTTTCTTTGATTTCATATTTTCATTGCTACTTGATACCTACTTCTGTTTACGAACACGTAGTACAAATAACCGAGAAAGCATTAGATGAGCATTGAACATCAGTGCAAACCTCCATCCTATTCAAGTTTATTTATCAACTGTGTCAAAAAAAAAATAAAAAAAAAAAGGTTTAGTTATCAACACTTCCCAAGTCATTAGTATAAATATACTTCGTCGAAAGCTCCCTTAGCCAATGCTTGCTTAGCCTACGAAAACTGTTGAAAATGGGATGTCGAAAGCTTGATTAGCCAATGCTTCCTTAGCCTACAAAAACTATTTATCGAAAACGCGATCTGAACTGTGAAAGTGAACAAGACAGAATGGGCAATTCCTCACAGTTGCAATCATAATTTAGATACATAAACTTGGCTTGAATTAGATCATGCTTTCTAAAGGTTGTACGAACTTTATCCCTAGCTAATTGAACTTGCTATGCTAACGTTTCTTAAAGATTATATTGTATTCATTGGTTAACTTTCCATAAGATTGTACCAACTCTTCTTATGAACACTCACTTCGTGGGGATCGTGCCAAAATTTGATTGAATATTGCATACTATGAACTTATATAGGTATAACTTTCAAGTGCTATGCCAACTTGAACATAGTTTATGTTTGGATCATGTAACTTAGGTTGGGGGCATCCCTAAGATAAAAATCTTAAGACAAGATAGGGCTTATCTTGCTCTAATCATACTATGTAATTAAATTTTAAATATAGGGCTAGTTGTCCTTGCTATTAACATTTTGGCTCGATTATTTTTTGGGTGTATGACATTTTTGTGAAATTCACGCTTACATATTTGTGAATGTCTAATATCATATATTCAAATGCAACCTTTTATGTACATATAATTGTATAAAGAAGCACATTGACATTAATGTGGGGATATTCTATCCAAGGTTTTGGATACCATTTTCGTTACTCTATACCTGTTAAAAATGATTGTAATCCCTAATACAATACGAAGTAAGAATTAAGAGGTTTTGAGTTATATTCTAAGATCAATTGCTTACAAAAAAGTAAAACTTCTCAACATTATCCACACATTAAGTTGGATAAACATTAGCAAGACAGAGCGTATAAAATATTTAAACAATAAATTAGATCTTCAATCCTCAATCTACACTTTTATTTTATATATTTGATATAAATGAAATCATAAATTGTAGATGAAATTCGACCCTTTTTATCATTATAACTTAATATTGTATAATTATATTAAATGTCTCTTACCTAACAAAAGTTCAAATAAAAAATAAAATTCTTTCCTGTGCTTACATTATAATGTTTGGATAAAGTTGATTTGCTAATCCTCATCCAAACATTATAATGTCATATACCACAAAACCAAATACCTCCAAACAAGAAACCTTTTTCAAAAAGATTATATAGTACTAGTAACCTAGTAAACAAAATACTATCCCATCAGAAAAATAATTAAAGAATTGCTAATTCCATATTGTTAAGATAATTAAATAATGTAATTTTTCTTGGAAAACGACTCTTTATATCATTAGCTTGATCATTGACACTTGTCCTTGCTTTTTCATACAAAGTACATATTTTACCCAAATTATTAAGACTAATATGACCTTAATTAATTAATTTATTCTCCTTAAGCTACGGTCATGTTTGTCTAACAAGTAAACCTACCAAAAATAATGCTTTAAAAATAACATTATTCGTACAATTTTAAATGGAATCTATTGGTTAATGAAAAAAGCTCACATGGCCTTAACCAATAGGGAACTTCCTTGCAAAACAGCTCCTAAACACTAGAAATTTTGTTAATTTTTTAATTTAGTAAGTGCTTTTTTGGGGTTTGTGCCTTGATCCATCTTTTATGTATGAACTAAACTTTGGAATTAGGAATCTCGGACCATTTGATAGGAGTATTTTTGCAAATGGAGTACTAAGTTTACTTTATTGCAGTTAATAAACTAATAGTTTTATTATATAGAAGGTTCTTAGATACATTCTAAGTTATCAAGAGTCTTGGAAGTCATATTGCTAACAAAGAAGTATGGTATGACATTGACATATTGTTATGCATATACCTATTTATTAATTCATGATTAATAGTGAGCTCCATCGACCGAGAAGTAGTGAAGTACATATATTAGGGTTGAATGAATTTCGATGCGAAAATTTCTTAATAAGGTATTGTTTTTAATTAATTAAAATAGAGCGTCCAGTCGATTTGTACCTCAAGTTTAGGTGAATTATGTTATATAATTATTGATATGATCTAATTAGCTGCTAATGTTTTCTAGTATTATAAAAATTGTTGATTGGGAATTACAAGATAGTTAATTAATTGGGAACAACATAATAGTGATTTGTTTACTATATAGGTAAGAACACAACGTAATTATATATGTATGTAGGCATTTGAGTCTTCAATGAGTTTTAAGATTTGAAATGTATATTCAGATTCAGACACCTGTAATGTATTTAAAAGTATCCACCTGTCAGAATGATTGGTTACACATATAATAGTCAGAATGATTGGTTACACATATAATAGTCAGAATGATTGGTTACACATATAATAATCACAATGCCAACTGTTAGTGAGTAACTTACAAAGATTTGAAAATTGTTTTATTAATTTTATTTTACGCCACCCTTAAGTCATTGTATATTCCTTATTAAATATAATAATCGTGCACAATATTGTTGTAGGAAAATCAAGCATGAACCTAGTCAAATAGGATTGAAAGAGAAAGCATCTTGTTTCCATTTATTTGATACCGAAGCAACTTGCTTACATATAACATTAATTAACCTTATCATGGAGTATTATATTAGATTTCCTTACTTTATCAATGATCTTGCTTTAGCATTTGCAACTATCGTAAATGTTATCACAATGACAATATAATAAGCTAATTTATAATTCGCCAATTTATAATTCATTATATGTTCCTAACAATGCATTAACCACGAATTAGTTTTTAGTAATATGGAGTAAGGTACTAATATTATTGGACATTGAAAGATTTACTAAAATTTGGAAGGTAATACAAGTAAATTTATGTAATGGAAATGGAACAATGGAAGTTAGGCCGTAAGAACAAATGAGCCAATCAGTCAAATCGGAAGATATTAAGGGATGGGTTGGATATTGTGCCGTCTGCTGAACACATATTTGTCTCTCACACGTGAATGGCCATCTCTAAGATGAAGAGTCGTTTTTTTCCCTCATAGGTACAAAGATAATGTCATATCGTTTCTCGAGTGACAAATACACGCTTTAAGTCCAACGAGCTTTCGATCTCGTGTGAAGGGACGTGATAAAGTATTAAGCATACTAGTTTAGTCCCGTGCATTGCACAAATTAAATTGCTATTATTTGTTTAAAATGATTGTCAATATTCTTTATTAGAAAAAAGTATAATCATAATCTCATTAATTAATTTTGAAAGAAGTATTGTATTTTTTTTTAGTCTTGAAATTTAGAAAGAAATAAATAGAGGAAAAAAAAAAATAGATGTCAAAAATAGTTTAGGCGGGAAATTTTTTCATGAGAAGTTGACATGTGTCCCTTAATGACATCAGCATGTTTTGTTTTAGTAATAGTTAATAGATTTCTGAGCCTCAATCAGTAGCTTAGGGTTCGTTTGACATTGGTGTGGTTTTCTGTTTTTTGGTTTTTTAATTTTCAAAATCATATGATATATATCATATAATGAATAAAAATTTAGTCATACTTATTAGAATCATGATAATTTTGAAAACTGACAACAAACACCTATTTCTTGTTTCCTGTTTTTGATTTTTTGTTTTAAAAAAAACAGAAAACTGAAAACAAAAAACGATGCCAAAACTTATGGTTGAGATAGTCCTTTTTCATGGCATCAGAGCCCAAGTTAGGTTTAGGTTTGATGACATTATTATGGACAACTTACATGTGAGGGGGAGTGTGTGAGCCCATAAACAAACCCACATGTGAGTGAAAGTGTTATCCTACATTAAAAGAGTGTACAAGTGTTGAGAAGTGTATCTCATATTGAAGAACAAGAAAGTTGTATCCACTTTATAAGGTTAAGGAGTTACTCCACTCATTGCCATATGATTTGAGGTAGAACCTTCTTGGTCATATAAAGTGGACACTTGTGACGGATGTGGCCCAGACCCGTTTATCAATACTACTAGACCAATTGCTATTTGGTGATCATCAGATAAAAAAGGATTGCCATTTTTACAATCTTGATATGTAATGTCTAGGCTATGAGGGTTTCCAACCACATGAATATCTCAATGTGCCCTCTAGAGATAACCTTTGAGATCGTGGTTCATCCAAATCGGCATGACATACTCCTAATTATCATGGCACACAACTATACATCAGATCATTGGAACTGATATGCAAATCACTTTGAATCATTTAGTATTTTAGTGTTATATACTTTAGTCATTACTTCTCTCAAATCATTGTGGATAAAGATAACACTAACTTTTCAATAGCTTGGTTTAGTTGTTGTAACAACTTGTATGTAACCATACCATCTTATTGCTCATTAGACTGTTCTATTAATGTAGTAACAATCAATTGAGACATAGAAAGTAATTAGTATATCAAAATTTACTTATAGCAATTGCTAATTCAGCACAAAACTCTGTTTATAACCCTAAATCAGTGATATATGGGAGCCAAACTAAGTTAAGGATACATAGAAATTTATCTACTCCGTATATATGATTGTAGACCAAACCTGTGAACAATACATAATATGGGTGTAACAAAAATATTAGGAGCAAATTAAATATAGGGCCTTGATTAGTTGATACAAATCACATAACTGTTAGCCTAAAACCTATGTAAGTTTATTTTGTTGGTTTGATAGACGAGAGAAAGGTGATTTTTACTTTTAATAATTCGAGTAACCACTTTCACAACAACGTGTGTCAGGAGGCAACGTGTAAGACTATAAATCTATTTTTAAAAAAATATTATATATGTTGTTTCATTGTTGTCAATTACCGAGTGAAGGATAATTCTGTAATTTCAACACCCATGTTAAGATAATTCTATTTGATACATGTCACATCACGAGGTTACGAAAAGAGATAACATTTCCAAAATATTATATACCTTTAGATGGTGTGAATAATGTATACCTTGTCCGTCATTTTTGCTAATTATAGTCTGTAATATGCTAAAATAAAGTCATTATTATCACGACAACTTGCATCTTTAATTGAGTAGATTGCAACTTAATCTTTAATTAGTATTTCTTTGGGATAAATTAATTGCAACTTGCTAATATTAAAAGCTTAATATCTGTTTTAGATGACAACATTAGCACTAAGTAGAGTGCATGCTTCTTTAATTATTTGTAACCATGCATGTGAGAAGAGTCATATTAATAGGCATTGGACAGTACCCACTTTAAGTTAATGATGGAAGAGGAAAGTGATAATTAAAACCATACAAAATTTGCCAATTGGCCATCAATTTTTGGATTTTTTTTTAAGGTACATCCTAATTTGTTTATATTTTTTCTAATTTTGGAAACCTTAATTACCTGAAAAAGGAAATCTTTCCTAGAAATTGCTCTTGAATTTGGTCTTTTTAAGTACTGACACAGTGACACGTTCACTATCTTTTACCTGAATAAAGTGTCGGCCAACGGTTATGTGATGGCCAGATAATTTCTTGTTTCCTCCACAATTATAGAATAAATTAGATTTATAGAGTTTTCAAGAGTCAAGTATATTTTGAAAAATAAATATTATATAGTTTATTATTTTTGAATGATATATTATATAGTATATAACAGTACTAGGAACTTGGGGCTTAGTGAATGGCAAAGAACAAGTTATGCTTTGATGTCATTCAATTTTTTGAGTTTCCAACTTTGAGTACTTTTGTTTGGTATTTTGTACTAAAAATTTCCATTTTTGGTATTTTATTTTTATTTTCATTGGAGACTACATAGAGTATTTATCTAATGAAATGCATAAAAAGGATGGATCTTATTCTAGTATTGGTTAGTATTTCGGGAAAAAAATAAAGGAAGATGACTTCAAACGCAAACGAAATGTCGGCTATCTAATTATGTTCTATGAATCAATTTAGAGTCAACGACAAGGAGAAATGATAATATAAAAAATAAAAAGGGCAACCAATCAGGTGTCGTTGAATTGGTAGTAAACTAGTAATGCTAGCTGTCATCTCTCAATCTTAAGGTCTCGAGATGGGGACATGAGAAGGGACCGAAGAAGGAGAGTGGAGGAGGCATCTGGTCTGTTGAGGCAGGTGGGATGGACCCCACACATGCTTATTAAATATATAGTGTAAAATAAGAAAAACACAAATTAACAGTACAATCTAGTATACACTTTTTATTTATGTTTGCTTCTTTTTGTTTTATACACTTATAATTTCTTCCTATTTTGGCAATGTTTTCTCCTTTTAACCACATATACAATACTCTCATTTTTTTTTTATTTTTTTTTTGACAATAGCAAATGAAACTAAATAAACCTACAGCCAATTAGAAAAATCGATCCGACATTTCCTAGCAATATCATTTGCCCTTTGAACCTGATCTCTGGGAACTTTCAAAATCGTGCATCTTTGAAACGATGCTCCGACTTCCCTTAACTCCTTCAGCAACCAAGTTATTGATATCTCCTTTCCCTGGTTATCCTGTAAATTGTTTAAAAGGGAAATACTCTCATTTGATGAAATAATATATTGTAGAGCTTTATTTATTTATATGTATTTGTAGAATTTAGAAACTTTTATTTTCAATAGATGATATTAAGGAGATTAAAATATGTAAATTAATCATAATCAACCTTTTCAACATAATTTGAGGCATAATCTTCCCATAGAAAAGAGTTTGGAATAGATTTTTAAATCAGATTCATTTATCATTAACCTATAAATTTGAAAAGTTTTTCAATTACAGCCCTTTAAAAGTGTCATATAATAAATTGTCATGTTACAATTAATTTTTCTAAAGTAGACTTTAGGGAATGGCTAGATATAGAGTTTAGGAAATATTAGATATTGTAGAGTATATGATAATGAAAGCATATGTATAGAGTTGAGGAAGTTTTTTAAATAACTTGATAAAACATACATTTTTTGAACATGATTCATAGCATTGAGAAAGCAAAATAAGATATCATTTAAGAATCAATTTGACATATATAGGGCATGTTTGGTGAAAAACTAATCAAAAGCTAAATTTGATCGTGTTAGCTGGTTTTGACAAACTGATTGTATTAATTGATTTTATAAACTGATTATATAAAAATGCTTGGTAAATAGTTGATTTCTTAATAAAATTGTTTGAGTACACAAAATGTATGATCAATCAGGACATTGACATATTTTTATTGTAGTAGCGTATTGGGTTATAAGAGGGTTACAATTGTCACTTCATCATCTTAAATTACTTGAATGAGCCGATGAAAAAATTCCTCCAAGCATTAGCTTATTGAAAATAAGCTAATTTGGTGGAATCAACTCTTTAACCAATAACAACGGAGGTGTTTAATTTGCTGGTAAAGTGTTTTTGGGGGCAAAATTAGCTTATTTGACATTTTTTCATCTAGTATTTCGTATAGTTTTTTTTTATTTAAAAAAGTAAGATACAGGGGAAATGATTAGGAACATCTTCTCACAAGACCGTGCCGTAACCTATCTTGTAGTAAAAAAATATGAAAACTTACTAGAGATCAATATCCTGATGGATCGAAGTAAAGTAACACAGAGACGCAACACAATCTGCTGCTATATTTCCTTCACGAAAGATGTGCAGAGATTTAAAGGCCAAGAAGGAATCCCGCGTTTCGTACATATGGGATCACTCATATGTGGTAATTTTGCTTTTAGGAGGAGATTAAGCATAAGAAAATTATTAAATATAATAAGTCCCCTAATTTGGGGGTGCAAGATGATAGATTATAAATAAAAACTTAACATAAATAGAATTGGGGCAAATATGTCAACAATGACATGTGCAATGTTTTAAAATTGGACCTTTATATTATTATTTCGCATATAGATATGAGGGATAAATAAGATACGAACTTGTAACATTGTTATTATCACGCTGATTCTTGATACCATGTTAGAGGATCAACTTAAGTTGATGATTAAGGCTCAAAAATAGGTTTTATACTCTATCATAGTTCTATACCAATCCACTATTGTTTTTACTACTTTTTTTACTTGTATAACATTTCATACAAATGGCTATATTGCAAGTAAATAAGAAATTAAGAACAAAAGGATGGAGTAAACCCTTGACTCTTTTTTTTTTTTAATTAAAAATGCGAGTAAAAACCCTTGACTCTTTCATACAAATGGCTATATTGCGAGTAAATAATTTACTCCTTTTTTTTTCTCCTCTTTCCCCCTCTTCCTCTCTTTCTTTCTCTTGTTCCAATTGAGAATGGATTCATTGCATTTCCTTCTCTTTCCTCTTTCCCCCTCTTCCTCTCTTTCTTTCTCAAATAAGCCTCAAATCCCACGCCACCAACAACCAACCACCAACCACCGAACCACCTCCAAACTCACACCACCACAACCAACCACCAACCCACCGATCCTACCGTCCACCGAACCCACCGCACCCACCAACCAGCAACCACCGAACCACCTCCAAACTCACACCAACTCGAACAACTCACACCACTGCAGCCAACCACCTCCAAACTCACACCACCGCAACCAACCACGTCCAAATTCACACCACGCAGCCAACCACCCGCAAATCGCACAAATTCAGCTGATTGCAGTAGTTTCGATTTGGAATGAGAAGTCGATTTGGTGGTGCGATGGTGAAGCAGTCGAAACGAATCAGCACCCAAGCAGTAGTTTCGATTGTAATAGTTTCGATTCGAACTGAGAAGCCGCAATATCGGGTGCTTCGATTGCTTGAAGCGGATGGGTTAAGGAGATTGAAGGAGAGGTTCGCCGCACGAACTATTGGGTGCAAAGTGCCGCACCCAATAGTCCGTGTTTTTTTAAAATTCAGTATTAAAAATTTCTCAATTCATACAAAACCATCTTAGCTTAACATAAATGGAATAAGGGCTAATATGTCAACAATGGCATGTGCAAAGTTTTAAAATTGGGCCCTTATATTATTATTTCACATATAGACATGAGAGGTGGATAAAATACGAACTTATAATCTTGTTGTTACGTTGATTCTTAGTACCATGTTAGCAGATTAACTCAACTAAAATTTTAAGTTGATGATCAAGGCTCGGAACTAGGTTTTATACTCTATCGTAGTCCTATACCAATCCACTCATATTCTTTTCACTACTTTTTCACTTGTATAAAATTTCATACAAATGGCCATATTGCAAGTAAATACGGAGTAATAAATTAAGAATAAAAGAAGTTAAAAAAAAGTCACAGGTTTTCCTTTTCCTTAAACAAGTAAAACATAAATGTTAATTATCTAACAGAGGACCTAGTCTATCTTTTAAAATTCAATACTCTGTATTAAAAAAATTCCCTACTCATACAATACAATCTTAAAATCGTCTCATACAAAAATTTGCCGAACAATAAAAAAAACACAAATACGGTACAATATACACGTATAAGAAGTACGAATCTTCCCACGCGTCAGCAACCTATAAGGTAGACGGTGCAAATACGAAAATGTATCCACCAATCACATCCATATTCTCACACCTCCAAAATCAACAAACCAACAATACTACTCCGTTCTTTTGCCTCAGGTTTTCCAAACAGGAGAGAGAAAGTGAGAGAAAAATAAAATACGATTCGTATCATTATCAACTCTTTTCTCTTTCTCTCTCTATTTCTATTTTTATTTAAAAAAAAAATAAAAAAATAGAAAACTTTCCACAAATGGGCATGTGCTACGACTCCAAATTAAACCCGAATTTGCTACCTTACCCATCTTCTCCTCTTCCCCTTTCTATTCTCAGTAAGCGCCTCCCTCTCTCTCCTCCTCCCCCTTAAATCCTTCTTCGTTTTCGTCTTCGTTTTCGGGTTTTTTTTTTAATTGTCTCGCTCTTACTTAATTCACCTTTTTCTTCACCAGCTAGTTCAAACACGAGCTAGCTGTTTTTTTAAAATATCGATTTTGATCTTGATTTTTCCGACTTAATTATTTTTTAGGTCAATTGTTCTTGAGCTTCGGAAGCTAAGTAATTCACCTTCGATCAAATCAAAATTGAGAGATTGATTAAAGATTGAAAAAGATGGGAAGAGGTAAGATCGTGATTCGAAGGATCGATAATGTAACGAGCAGACAAGTTACGTTTTCGAAGCGAAGGAATGGATTGTTGAAGAAAGCTAAGGAGTTGGCTATTCTTTGTGACGCCGAAGTCGGAGTTATGATCTTCTCTAGCACTGGAAAACTATCTGATTTCTCTAACTCCAGGTTCATCTTCTTTCTTTATTTTTTAATTTAAATTTTCTGCATTTAATAGATATTTTAGCTTTTAGAGTGCTTTAAAAATGCAACTTATGTATATTAGGATTGATTTAGTGGATTTTGTGCAAGAAATTTGTGAATAAATTGCTTACATGATTTTTGGGTCCCTTATTTGGTCACCTAATTAATCATCTACATTATCCTTACATTAGAAAATAATTGCATTAGTAATCACTAGGAAATTAATTCACCAAAAAAAGTCTACAAAAGAAAAAAAAAAAAAACATTATCCATTGTTTTTTTGCCTAATTTTTTATTTTACCATAAAATCACAACATTCTCACCTCTTTTTGAGCTACTAGGGTTTGAGAAATGAATCTTTGGTTAAGCTAGCTACCATAGATATCCTTCTAAATTCGAATCAATTTCGATCAAATTTTAGTCCGATTCTATCCATTTCAATATATTTGGGGATGAGACCGATCAAATGTCAGATCTAAAGACTAAAACATACAAATAAGTAGTTTTGGTAAAATTTTGGTAAAGTAGATGGTAAAATAGATTTAAAACAAAGACGATAAGTTAAACTTATCAAACTTTATATCAATCTAAACTTGTTATGAATAATTAGGTTATATATTTTAAATTTGTGAAATGAATCAAAGAGAAAATGTGTATCAAATGTTAAAAAAGTATATCAAATAATCAAAATAAAATCGTAACTAGTAAAGAACTTTAGAAGTGCCAAACTCTTTCCGACTAATTTTTATCGTGATCTAAGCTTGGAATTGAACAGCTTGATTAGGCTAATATGTTGCATGCATTATAATAATATCCAAAGTACATACGAAGTATGTATTAAATTACTTAATACGCATTAATTAATTATGTGAGCTACAATGGACAACTTGCTTGATAATAGGGAAAGGTATGGAAGATTAGCAGAGAACTCAGGAAAAAGTCGAGGACAAATTCTTTTTTCACAACATTCATAGGGAGCAAGTCATGAAGAACAATTAAGTAGAAAAATCTATATATGTTTGATCTTCGATCCGTATTTAAGAATTTTTTTTTTGAGTTTTGCGAGTACTTGGATGGGTTGGGAGGACGTGTAAGAAAGAAGACATCTTCTTCGGTTATCTGCATCAATCTTTGAAACACAGGCTGTAACAACAATGCAGCCTTTGGTTTCTCATCTAATATATGTTTACACTTAACTCACCGAATTAAACACTTCTACGTACAAATACTTCAAAATACTCTTAACATCATCCACTTCAATGCAATTCAAAACTTATTATTCCTACAACAATAATTTATGCATAGATTAATGCCATGCATGAATGCATGATGCATATAGTTTGATATTCATATTGATTGGTAGTTTTCCTTCATAAAAGTCGATCAGTAAATTATAAATGAAGATGAAAAGTTGTACTAAATTGATTAAAAAAAATCATGCATCTAAAAAACACATCATTGAAAATATAACGAAAAAAAAAATCTATACGAAGTATATTATACCTTGAATATTTTTAGGACAATGTGATACAGACATAAACAATTGAAATATTGTGTCTTTTTTCTTTTTTGTAAATTTCAAATTTCATAAAAATGTTTACATGCAAATGGTTGTTGTTGGAGTATGACTATATAGAGATGAATATGAATTTGCGAAAAGCAAAAGTTGGATCAAAAACTAAACTGTGATATCATGTTAGAGAACCATTTAAACCAAAAGCATGGTTGAACCTTAAGAATATGTTATATTCTCTATCTGAATATTTATATACGAAATATATGGTAAACATTGAATTAAATCAAATTACTTTTGTTTGAAATCTTTAAAGGAGTTAGTTGTAAAATCTATAGTAGATGAAATCTTTATTAAGGTATAGATACATTGAGTCTGATAACTCTATCAAAATAATATTTATACATGTACATAATGTTGAAGAGTATGATAGAGTATAAAACATAATCCTAGGCCTCAACCATCATTTTAAGTTTTTGGTTGAGTTCGAATCTTATCTACACTACTTGGCAGTTAGTCTTTCTGTATCTATGTCTTTTTTTCCTATCCCATGAAGATTTTCAACCAAAATTATATTTATGACCAACAATAATTACTTCATTTTTTTTTTTTTTTACAATCACTCACTTTTTCAAAGTTTATTTTCGTAATACACGGTGATAGTAAAATTGTACATTTTATCAAAAACATATATTGAGGTGAGATCGAAATTAAGTGGAAATGAATTTAATATAGCTACAACGAAAATTACCTTATCTTACGTTATTTTTGTTTTGCACGTGTAGATGGTAAATGAGTCTTTAAGATTTAGGATAAGTATCATTCTATTGAGATAGATGTTAAAAGTCCGATCGATTCTTATTAGTTTTTAAATTCTCTAAGCCTCGATAGTTTAGCTATGATTCTAATTTTTAAATCAAAGTTTACTAAAGCTATATAATAACAATCCTTCACTAAAACAGTATTCAACATCCTCGGATAATTAATTTGATAATTCTTCAATCAATTATGTATCTGAATAATAATATCTTGATAATGAGAGAACATACTACTCCATCCGTTCTATATTATAGTTCTTGTTTTCCTATTTTTAAGACCGAAAATATTCCTCCTGTTTCCATTTTTGGATAGTAGGTAAAGACCATCATACCCTAATATTTTTTTTTAACTTTATTCATTTTACTTCCTAAATTACCTTTAAAATTTCCACTTGCTTTGTACTTTTTTTCCACTTTCTCTCTCCAACTTTTGTCTATAATTGTACTTTTCACCTTTTTTATGTACTTCATTTACTTTCTTCTCTCTAACTTTTGCCTATAATTGTACTTTTCACCTTTTTTTTTATGTACTTCATTTACTTTCACCTCTTATTTCTTATCTTAAATACCTTGAAAAAACACAAACAAGAACTATATATTGACACGAAGGGAGTACACACTTACAGACGAGCAGACATTTTTGTTGTACATGATATAATGTTGGTGATGGGAGTGACGTAAATGATAAGATTTTAAAACAATAATCTAAATTATAGAATTAAGCTCACATTAATTCGTACAATTATCGTACGTAAGCCACATGATTATCATGGATATATAGTTGGCCATTGCAGAGATTCAAAATTTAGCATGGGGTGTCATGCTGATCCACTGAATTATGTCAGTCAATCTTATAAAAATAAAATAATAAAAAATACTTAATCATAAATTATTACTGAATTTAGCTATCAAAATCATACAGCACAACAGTCAGCAGATGTGTTCTGATATTACCTTAGACAAGCAAATCAGTTTGACAGAGTCCACTACTAATTCCACTAGCATGTTAAAATTCTAAGTATATTATTTCTTTCGTTATCATAATGATATATACTACATACAAGTTATAACTAATGTTAAAATATCGTCGATTTTGATCAATACTATGTGATAAATTTTCAACAATTATACATCTTAATTAAATACACATGATTTTTGGTTAATTTATGATAAAAAAAATAACAAACAATATTTTCTAGTGAAAGTAAATTTAACCATGATCAGCAATAGAAGATGAAAATAGAGGAATGTTTAATTTCACAACTTGCAAGGAAAATTCTCTTTCTTTCTTCTTCACTCTCTCTTAGGGCTTATTTGGTTGCACAAAGAAAATGGGGAAAGCGAAAAATCATGGGAATTGGAAATTGGATGAGTTGTTTGGTTGACAATAAATAGTGTAAATGTGGGAATTGCAAATTCATGGAAATTGTGACTTCCCACAAAATATGGGAAGTTAATTACCTAACCCCCTAGGTAAGTAAAAGTTCCCATGATTTGCAACTTCCTTCATCCCAACCAAACAAGTTTAGACAATTTCTAGAAATTAGATGTAGGTATTTAATTCCCATAAAATACAAATTTCCTTAAAAAGTAAATTTCCATATTAAAAAAACAACACCCTAGTGCAAGTCTCTCTTTCTCTCAAACTACCTTTTGCCCAACATGATCACAAGCGAAGATAGAAAATAGCTTTCTCTCTCTCTCCAAGGACATGCATTGTTTTTTTTTTCTCCAAATTAAATATATAGTCGCATATCACTTCTTTCATCTACTTTTATATTTTAACAATCTGATTTTAAGTATATTTGATTCCTTACAGTCCTACATCTATTCTCAAAATGCTTTCATTGTGAATAACTTATTGTGTTCTTAATGTATAAATTATTAACAGTAATAATATAATCAAAGTACAATCATTAGTTTCAACATAAATCATATAAAAACAAAATTGACAAACCAATTTCTTTTTAAAACATGTCACTTTATTTGGCATAAAATCATAACTTATTATTTTTAGATTGGCATAAAGAATAGTGTTCACATAAATTGGCATAACTTATTACTTTTGAATTTTCATTAGCAATTATAGATGTATTTTAAACAGCCTTTTATTCATATTTTAGGGTTGGTAATGGATGTGAAACTAATTTAGGGTGCGTTCTATTCACCAAATTTTCACTTATTTAAACTTATTTATTTACAGGATATAACATTATCTATTTACCTGATTTTACACAACATGCCCTTAATAAGCTGTAAGAATTTTATCTCCTTACCCCCTTCAATAGTTGTTCATTCACCTTTGAATTCTTTAGTAATGTTTTACAGGATATAACTTCTAATTAGACATATAAAAGGAAAGTAAAAGGAGGAAATCTGTAAATTAAAAGAGAGATTGAGAACAATTGGGAAGATAAAACCACAACTATAAATATGATGTGATTCTCTTTCTTTATTAAGAACATGGAGGTCTAATACTAGATGATAGAGAGGCTTAAAGGGTTTTTTTTTAGCCCTCTCCACCCCCCACAAAACACACGAGCACGCACACACACAAACCTAAACATAAACAATCACGCAATAGTTAGTAGAGATTGTTTTAGGTTCTTAATGAAAGAGAGAACGAAAACTCCAAGGAAACAAACGAAAGTGAT